TATGGATCACAACAATCAGAGATCCCATCATACATGTGTTCTCCATGAATTGGGGCCAACTGAACAGCAGCTAATAACATCTCTAGGATGATGATTCACTAGAGTCTGATGCAAGAAGACTGTTGATGAAGCTTGTGTGGCTTGGTTCCTGGGGCACAAAAAGCCAAAAACTAAATTACACTGAACAGTAGGAAGTGGATCAGGTACATAAAATGCAGGGTGCACAGAACCATAACCCATTTCTCTAATTAGCTAAGGTGCTTCCTAGCTTAGCTTTGGGAATTCTTGCAAGTAAATTGAGGTTTTGAGATATCTGATAAACATATAAGTACTACAAATGATAGGATTCTTCCCTACAGCCTTCATGGAGAGTATAGTTCTACTGACACAGTGATTTCAGACTTCTAATCTCCAGAACTGTGAAAGAACAAATTTCTATTGTTAAATCACCTATTGTAATTAACCCTAGTGTGGCACTGTGGGTTGATGCGCTGGACTGTATATTGTTGTGACGTGCCATTGAGTCAATTCCGACCCATAGCAACCCTGTGTAGGGTGTCCAAGGAGCAGCTGGTGAACTTGAATCACTGACCTTGCAGGTCAAACGACTTTGCAGTCTGACGCACTAGCTATGTACACATGTGCATATATATGTAAGAGAGAGGAAGAGAAAGAAATAAAGAGAATTGGGAAGAGAAAAATATGGAAGAAGAAAGATCACTGGATCTTCTTTACAGGGCATGGGCATGAAGAAGTCATCTATATCTGCCATCTTGACGAGTCTTCAAACAATGCACATCAAAAGAAATGCAGACTACTTCCTTTAAAAGAGACAGCAGCAAGCATAAGCATATGCTTTCGTCCTGCCAAGTACAGATTATTTTTCATGGAGTCAACACTTGACTCATGGTGACCCTACTCACAAAAGAACAAAACAGTGTCAAGTCCTGCATTATCCCAATAATTGGTTGTGGATTAGACCATTGTGATCCACAGGCTATTTTGTGGCTTGGTGTAGATAAGTAGTGACTCATGATGTACCTTGGCCAGGAATCAAACCCAGATTACTTATATGGAAATCAAGTATTCTTCCATAGAACTACCGCCAGCCCTGCTAAACTCTGATTATTAGAAGTTAAATCAAAGCAGTGTGTGTAATATCAAAGTCTCGACTACCAATGGTTCTGCCATGTGTGAAAGGCTTTTAACTTACCTTTCCCATGATTGAAGATTATGAAGTAAACTCTCTAAGGAGTTCTGGTGTGGTGCTGTAGGATAAGCACTACACTGCAGGGTCAGTTTGAACTGCAAGGTTGGTGGTTCAAAAACCCACCAGCCGCTCCTTAGAAATCCTAAACAGGGTCTCTATGAGTCAAAATCGACTTCAGAATAACAACCAACTCTCTAAATGCAGAAGTATAATAAACAGGGGTTAACGTTAAAAGTTGGGGGTTACCACAGAAGGGAACGGTGGGGAAAAGGATTTGTTACTCTTCCAAAATTATAAGTAAAAATTTGTGTATGTATTTTTCCTAGTTTAGGGTTAAGAATGTTTATCAGATTTCCAAAAGTCTTCATGGCTAATAAAAGGTTATTCCGTAAAAATACATGGTGCTTTTAATGAGTGTGAGATCTGGGACAAACAAGCTAAGTCTCATTGCCAGATCTGACTCAGCCCTTCACTGCTCAGCCCTCTCCTCACCCACAGAAACTTATCACAGCTTAAACACCAAGAATGTGAATGAACAGCATCTTATTTTCCAAATCCTTCCAAAGAAGCTGTGAAATATTTTGAATATAAAACAGTTATTTTTAGATTAAATGTGAAGAGCAGAACTTACCCGTCTATTTTGTTAGATAAAGACTCAACATCATCTTGGAGATTTTCACATTTTGCTGGCATTTGGAGTGACTTTTCATTCAGATACGTGCTGTTTGGTGAAAGACACAAAAAAGATTGACTTGAAATGAGAGCTGATAAAATATTGTTAACAAAAATCAGATTTCATTGATAAAGGGTTTCCAAATGAAGTCTGATTTCCATGCCATTACTAGATGTTTCCATGGCAAAAGAAATTGATATTTTCATCTCAGATGAGCCTAAATTTAAAAGAAAAAAAAACAACCAAAACAAAATAAAAACTTTACACAATAGAGTCAAACCGAAAAGAATTCTATATAAGACTATATTTTCAGGCTTTCATATTTTGAGGTTAGCGGAACTCTAGTGGAAAACAGTTAAGTGCTCAGCTGCTAACCAAAAGGTAATACTGTGAACCCATTCAGAGTCTGTATGGGAGAAAGACTTGGCGATCTGCTTCCGTAAAGACTGTCTTAACTGTTCCTGTCTGCCATCAAGTTGATTCTGATTCTAAGTGACCCTGTATAGAGTTTCTAAGGCTAGAAACTTTTATTATTGTTGTTAGGTGTCATTGAGTTGATTCTGACTCACAGTGACCTTATGCACAATAGAACACAATAGTACCAGATCCTGAACCGATCTCACAGTCACTGTTAAGCTTGAGCCCATTGCATTGCCACTGTGCCAATCGATCTCACTGGGGTCTCCCTTTTTTTCACTGACCCTCCAGTTTACCATGCATGATGTCCTTCTCCAGGGACTGGTCCTTCCTAATAATATGTCCGAAGTCAAGAGAGATGAAGTCTTACCCTCCTGGCTTCTAAGGAGCATTCAGGTTGTACTTCTTTCAACACAGATTTGTATACTCTTTTGTCAGTCCATGGTACTTGTAATATTCTTCCCCAACACCATAACTCAAATACATCAATTATTTTATTGTCTTCCTTATTCATTGTCCAACTTTCACATGCATATGAGGCTACTGAATATACCATGGCCTGGGTCAGGCACATCTTAGTCCTCAAACTGACATCTTTGCTCTTGAACACTCTAAAGAGGTCGTGTGCAGCAGATTTACCTAATGCAATATGTCATATGATTTCTTGACTGCTGCTTACAAAGGTGTTAGTGGATCCAAGCAAAATGAAGTCTTTGACAACTTCAATCTTTTCTCCATTTATCATGATATAAATGGTGAGGATTTTTGTTTTCTTTACATCGGGGGACAACCCATACAAAAGACTGTGGTCTTTGATTTTCATCAGTACATATTGTATGTCCTCTTTGCTTTCAGCAAGCAAAAAAGTTGTGTCATCTGCATATCACAGATTGTTAATGAGTGTTCTTCCAATCCTGATGCCATGTTCTTCTTCATATAATCAGATTCTTGAATTATTTGCTCAGCATACAGATTAGATAAGTATGGTGAAAGAATACAACCCTTGTGCACACCTTTCCTGATTTTAGGCAGTTAAATGTCCCATTGTTCTGTTTTAACAACTGCCTCTTAGTCTATGTACAATTTCCTCATGAGCACAATTAAGTGTTCCAGAATACTCTTTGCAAAGAGTTCTTTGCAAAGTTGTCCATAGCTTGTCATGATCTACACAATTGAAAGCCTCTGCACAGGCAATAAAGCACAGGCAAACATCTTTCTGGTATTCTCTGCTTTTAGCCAAGATCCATCTGATGTGATAAACCTCATTGTACATCATTGTCTGAGTCTTGTTTGAATCTCTAGCTATTACCTGTCAAGGTACTGTTTGACACCTTTTTGAATTATCTTTAGCAAAATTTTACTTGCATGTGATATTAATAATATTGTCCAACGGTATCCACAAATACAGATCTCTTTCAAGCAGCTGACCAGGTGGCTTTCTTCTACGTTTTTTGGCATAGATTGGGTTGGTTTGCACTCATCAGGACCCTGTTTAAAGTTCCTGAAGACTGGCTGGAGGTTTGAACCTCTGGCCTTGTGGTTAGCAGTTCAGTGCTTATCCTATAGTGTCACACCAGGACCTTCTATATGGTCCAGGGACCCAGAATACCTTATAGCCCATCATTCTAACACCTTCTTCCACAATTGTCATGGCAGAAGAAGAAACTGCTGGAAGGTCTCCTCATTTCTGAATACTTCAGCTTGGGAGCGATACATATTTCTTCTACTTATGATCTACTGGCTGGAGCTAGTCAAATGCCCCATTTCTCCCAAGTTGTATCCAAAAAGAGAGAAGATCTGAATATAGACGGGCATGGGAAGATGGTGCCTCACCGGTGTCAGTTGATATGAAGAGAAGTAGGCGCATGGGATATATGCAGGAGGCAAGACTGACAGCACTTGATAATAAACTGAATGTGGGAGGTAAGGGGGAGGAAGGCATGAATGTACAGCTATAAACAAGACAGATCCATAATTACTTCGTCAATCTTTCTCAGAAATGCTTTCCAAACACTCTATACAGAGTATTATAAGCTCCCCAATCCCCTTAATCCTGATATGATTTCCCCCTATCCCCACTTCCTCATCTCTCTTTTATTCTGTCTACATACTTCACCGTCTGTGCTTTCTGAATGCATTATCATACTTTCCAAGGATTCATTTATTTCTAATTTTCTGTGTATTTTATTCCAGCAGCACCATTAGTGGAGTGCATTATCAAGCTAGTAGTGCTTTGAATTATGATGGCTTTATTGCTGAGTTGTGAAACTGTGACAAGCATGCACCAATAGGATTGAGTGCCCTATAGCTTTCTATAAATATATGAGATTCTCTGTTAATTAAAAAAAATCAAAATGGGTTGGCCAAACTAAAATACCAAGAGATACATGGAAAGCAAATGAGGGTGTCTGGAATAAAAATGGAGATGACAGAATGAAGTGATGGAAAAACTGGAGTCTTTGGAATCAGTATGTCCAGAGTCTGAATCCCAACTCCACTTCTCTGGTCTGAAGTCCGTTGCACCTAAGGCTTTCTTTTTCAAAATTCTTACCAATAAAATAATCATAGCAATTAAATATTTTGTGCATACAATCACATGACACCCAAAGGTCACTAAATAAATGTGTTCTTAGTCTCTTAATCTCATTATTGAATTATAATTTTTATTAATTATGCCCTTAAGGTCAGAGCAGTAACATGTTATCAAATGGGTCTCCCAACTATGGAAAGTTACTCCACAGTGAAAGGAGCACAGAGGGAAGTCCTTTTGGTTCTCTTTGCTTTCTGTGTTTCTATGTCCCTTTTTCACTAAAAATATCTTTACATCTTTCTTCCTTTTCATCTAGTATCATTAAAACCACCTGAGGACAATGTTAAAATAAAAATATTCACATGCACTCATTTCATAAATTTCAAACGTTTATCTACATTAGGCACCTGACCAAATATAAACCTTTTACTGACTCTTGGACAAGAAAACTCTTATCTCATGCTGTTTTTAACAATGTTGAATAAATGCTATTCCAAGTGAATAAAAAACAGGCACCATAACTTCCATGTTTTAAAATGCTTGAAGATCTGACAAAGGAAGAGTTTCCACGAGTCCTTAGAGAAACAGAAACACCTAGACTTTCCTCTTTCCCTTACCAGGAAGAAGGCTGGGAAGAAGGCTAGAATAAACCAGCCTTCTCTGTTGTGCAAATAAGTGAGAATATGATGTTTTCTAGAGCTGAGCTCATCAGGAGAACCACGAAGGTTACTAGTTCTTGAAAGAGGAAAAGGAGAAACCTTCTCAGTTCTAAGCTGAGGCCGTCAAAACAGGACAGATTCTTTCTGAGAGGTTGGCACTCATCTGCAGATGAACTTGTTAGATTAACTCCTCCTTACCCTGCCACATAGGGACATCTCAAAGACAAGTCAGAGGACAGAGAGAAATTGATCCAAAGACTCACAGTGACTGTGTGGTGGAACAGATACTAAGAACCATGAATAGTCTGATTTGTTACAACCCAAGGAAAGGTCATGGGGATCAGGTTGTTGGAGGTATTGTTAAGTGCTGTCTAGACATAATCACCAACCTTGTGGTTGAAACTGACCTTGCAGTCCAGTGCTTATTTTAAAAGTAGGAATGGTTTACACTGGCCAAAAGGAATAGATATCAAGGAGAACTTGGAACAGTCAAAGAAGCTACTAACTAAAGGTTAAGTTAGTCAGCTATAACTTAGTCTGCTGCCTACCTGTGAACTCCTGTTAAAATATAAGTGCAAGATATAAATGAGATGTGAAACTAACTCAATATATGCCGGGGGTCCTGAGTCGGGGTCCCACCTCAACAAAGGATCACCTCTGCAAACGCGGGGTTTAACGGAAGTGAGATGTCTAGTAGG